GATTGTAAGACTAGCCTATCCTGTGAATACACCAAGAGAAAGGACAGTGTATAGTGTAAAAGCTGTGATGTCTGCTATTGTCAAGAGAGAAGAGTTTTTAGTAAAAACTGATGGTACCGAAGGTGAAAAGGTGAAGGAGATCCTACCTGATGAATCATTGTCAGATATTAGTAACCTGTCACTATTAGGAGGACGTGATATTAAGGTAAGAATTAACACACACAAACTGTTTGATACATTAATACAAGCACTAATAATCAAAAGGTCATATCTTAAAAGTAATATTATTATTTCTTATCAATTACTCAGTCTTTGTCATAATTGTGGGTTGTCATTGTGTGGCTTTTACTACTAATAATATATACTTGTACATCTGTTAAACTCACCTTTCAGCAATACACTACTGATGTATATCACCTTGATAAACAAGCACAGTGACAAATATCAGTTATTATTACTATTATTGTATAGGAAGTGATTGAAATAACTGAAGAATTCAAGACACCATTGACTCCAATAAAGCTAGGTATGTTATAATATGTACTATCACAATTGTCAAGTAGTGGGAGTGTAGACTGTACAGTGTATATGTGACCATAATTGACAAAAGGGCCCTTATGGCGAATTTTAAAATTGATAGTTATAATGGAAAATATCAACCTGTGAGTGCTTTGTTAGACAATCATTGTTTCTAAAAGTTTCATGGTAACTTTTTGCATCCTGTGGAGTAATTTTATGATAACTGGGGCTCAGGAAGTTGGATTTCTTAGGCTAGAAAGACAAATTTCACTACCCGCCATAAGGTACCTTTTGTCAATTATGGTCACATATACACATTATTAATTATTATTTTTATAGATATTAAAGATCTTGATATCGTCATTGAAGAGCTAACAATACTCAATCATTTACCTTGCCATATATGGCATGATCTTGGTCTTCAGCTAGGACTCTATCAGCCTACACTAGAAGACATCAATGAAGATAATAATGGAGACTCTAAGAAGTGCTTCAGACAGTGTGTGTCTGCCTGGTTAAGAGGAGAAGATAAAGTGAGAGAGAAAGGAGGTCCCAGTTGGTCATCATTAGCTACAGCACTGGATAAAGAAGGAAAGCATCACATTGCTTCTAACATTAGAGATAAATATTGTAAATAACAAACTGACAGTAACACATCAAGTTTGTATATTTCTCCTTAGGGCAGTGTCTAATTTATATTGTTGTTATTTCTGTTATTCTTCTTCTTAGATCCTGATGGAGCGTTTACTCCACTAACTGGTGGTACATCAACTGGTAGAGAAGTAGTTGCTATATGGAACTACACAGCTCAATATTCTGATGAACTGACCTTCTCTGATGGAGAAATACTTCAAATATTAGAAGAAGGTAAAGTAGAACTAATATGTATTAATTTTAAAACAAGAGCAGCTGTATATGCATATGTACATGTACATGTGTCTACACTTACAAGAAGAATAAAAGAAAATGGAGTGTATTATATCTTCATGATTTCAGCATTATTGAATCACCAACAATTAATGATCGTCTAAATTATTTTCACTACTTTATTTATATTAAAAATAATTTATTATTATCCCTCCCTTTCTCTCTCTCCCTCAGTTGATGATAACTGGTATCATGGTGTGTGTCAGGATAAAGTTGGTATATTTCCAAAGACTTACGTCAGAGAACCTTAACAACAACCAGCTGCTAACAACCAGCTCTACCTGCTCCTCTTCCTCTCTCTTCATGATCCTCTCTTGTAGTCATTAGCTGTTTATGAGTTAATCAATTGTTTTATTTGACATCATTTTATTTTATTCACTGACAATTTTATTGTATTATTTTATTTTTTTCTTGCTGTTATCTTGTTTTCTTGTTGTTGTTCTTACAGTGTGTTGATAATGAATTTCTGACAGTGTGTGGGCTAGTAAAACTAATTAACTTCATGCTGAGCTGTACATCTACAAATTCTACATGTATATATGTACAGTTATACATTCTGTGCTATAAAGATGGATCATTGAGAATGCAAGCCATGTCTGATACAGTGTATGTCTGCCTGGTTAAGAGGAGAAGATAAAGTGAGAGAGAAAGGAGGTCCCAGTTGGTCATCATTAGCTACAGCACTGGATACAATAGAAGAGAAACCTATTGCTAGCTACATTAGAAATAAATATTGTAAATAATTGTAGTTGATTGCTTTGGTTTGTCTCATAAAATATTACTTACTTTAAATTTCTATTTTGACTTAATTTGATATAAATTTAAAGATAACTTGCCTATAGTATTTCATTTTGTTGTGTTTATTAATTAACAGAATAAGTGATAGCTATATTGTGGTGAGTCTGAGCAAGCTCCAATAAGACGATAAAGCAGGAAGTGTATCTGTCCCTTAATAGTACAGGTAGTCTGAAGTTAGATTACCTTGAAACTGGGCGGGGTCATAGTTTTAAAAAGTTCCGATAATTAGTTATGAGTATTTTTAAAAGTTACATGTACCAAGTCATTACCTACATCATGTGTAGAGTAGCATTGTTACTATAAATAGTATCAGTTACCACAACTGAATAAACTGTATCATCTGTACTACAATAGTGCTGTTACTATAAATAGTATCATTTATCACTACTATAAATAGTACCAATGTTACTATAGATCAGTGTTACTATAAATAGATTCATTTACCTCTATCCCTAAGGAAGAATGACACTATGTACAGTATGTCTTGGCTGAGAGTGCAGTGTATTATTATTATTATCACTAATATTATATTATTATTAATATAGAGAGTAGGTAGTTAATTATTATTATTATTATTACTATTATTATTATTATTATTATTATTATTATTATTATTATTATTACTGTATAACTGTAAATTTGACAGAATAAAATTTTAGTGAAATTCGGTGAATTTAGGTCAATTCATTAAAATTTTAATCTCCAATTTGATAGGGCTCTGCAGCAGCATGCACATGGTTAAAATTTCACCAAAATTTTAAACCTAAACCTCTTTTAGAGTCCATTCAACAAATTTTGACACTCCAAAATTATCCAGCTATACAGTAGTAGAGGTACAGTCCTCATATAAAGGAATAGTAAGGTGGAGTGTAGTATGAGATTTTGAGGAGATTTTATTATTATTATTGAGATATGAATATGAGAGGAGTTAAGTACAGACCCTATAGGTGGGTTTATATAATGGTGATTAGGAATTAGCAGCCATGAGTCATTGAGCATGTGAAGAATAAAACAAAATGGAGTGGATTTTATATCAGTGAATGTTAACTACAACTGCTGATCTGCCAATATTAATTCCTTGTCATATTCCAGCTGTATAGTTAATACTGTTATTACATGTGTGATCAGAATCAGTTCAAAAACTATCAAAAGGACATTGATATATAAATTGAGAAATTATTTTATAGCCAATTCTTGGTAAAAGCATTCTCTCCCTCTCTCTCAGTTATGGTAGGTGTGTTTAGTGTATTGAATTCCTGATGTGTGGGCTGGTATCAATGAATCTAATTAACTGATCACAAGATGTCGTTAGAGGACAAGTGTTGGGATGTGTTTAGGGATAGATATCATGAAGAAGCTGTTCGCTTACTACCATTAGTGAAGGAACCGAATAAAATTAAAAGAAGATATATATGGGATAATACTAGTTTACTTCATTTGTCTTCAATGCATGGCTGGTTAGATGTTACAAAAGATCTCATCACTAAATATCACTGTGACCCACACGAAAGAGATAGTGTTGGTAGGACTTGTCTTCATTATGCTGCACGAGGTAATCGTGTTGATGTGATGAGATATCTCATTGATGAGTGTCACTGTGATCCAAAGGTTCCTGATGAGTATGGATATACTGTTCTTCACAGAGTAGCTGAGAATGGATCACTTCATTTCATGAAGTACTTGATCGATCATCATCACTGTGATCCAATGGCTACTAACAATAGTGGTGAGACTGTTCTTCACCGTGCTGCTGGACACATTGATATTGTAAAGTATCTCATTAATGAGTGTCACTGTGATCCAATGGCTACTGACTCTTACAACAGGACAATTCTTCATGTAGCAGCTCGTAGGAACTCACCTGATGTAATCAAATATCTAATCAATGAGTGGAACCATGATCCAATGGCTGTTCACAGGTGGGGGTGGACACCTCTTCACTTCGCTGCTAGTTGTGGTAGTTCTGCAGCTGCTGAATATTTACTATCAACTGGTAAATGTGATCCATTGGCTAAAGACAATGAGGGGAAAACACCATTTAAACTAGCTAAGGAGAATGGTCACACTAATGCTCTTTCTGTCTTTAAGAAGTTTGGTGGTATAAAATCATCTCATCCAATTGATTCTTATGTTAACGTCCTCCTTGTGGGTAATCCTGGAGCTGGTAAAACTACTCTTAGTCATGTCATCAATGACACAGCTACTGGCCCTTTTGTTCTTGGTTCCTTTAGAAATGTTGGAGGGGTAGTGCCCTGTACTGCTGGTATCATTCCTTATAAACTACAACACAGGACACTGGGTAACATCATTCTTCATGATTTTGCTGGTCATTCCGAATACTACTCCAGTCACAGTGCTGTCATTGAGAATCTCTTACAAGGTTCTGGTGGTGTCTTCCTCATAGTAGTCAATATATTGGAGAAGGAACCAGTCAAACAGCTTCATCAGTGGCTAACAGTTGTCACAAATGAAGCACACAAAGCTCTTAATCAATGCCATGTTATTGTAATAGTCAGTCATGTGGATGAGATATTTAATCCTTTTGAAAGGAGAAGGAGAAAGGAAGAAATACAGGAGATTATTGTAAGGGAAAGGTGTGATAGTGTCTTCTTAGATTGCCGTAAGCTTGGTGGGAGTGGTGTGGATTCCTTCTTTGATAAGTTGTCTAGTGCCTGTGAGTCCATTCGTAGTACAAGTGGAAGGAATTTGAGTCTTTATTGTCACATGATGTATGGTCTACTCGAGGAAAGGAAAGAGAATATACTGACCCTCTCTGATGT